CTCTCGCAGACAAATAGTTTAATAGGTAAAGAAATAATAAATAAGACTTACTCACAATCAATTTAATTTAACTATCAGACGACCGGTTTCGCTTTCTACAATATGCAAAGCTACCTCAGGTCTCGATACAAAGTTAAATAAATGCCGAAATGATAAAAACCCATATTAGGGTGTTGTCTAATAAAGATAAACAAAGTAGATGTTGTAAATTACAATAATTATGCCAATATTACATGTCTGTGGTTTTATTTCAAAAAGAGTAAGTTGAATAAAAAGGTATAAAAGTTTTAAAAGTTTAAACAGACAAGGTAAGGCCCACAAATTGTTATAAAATAGTCTATTAGATTGTAATAAATTAATAAATGAGCAAATAAATAAAAATAAACATTACTTACATGCCGGTACTCTATTAATTGATGGATGGTAGGACATGGTTGAAACTACTCTGTATTGTTGAATGGAGAACTCAATTCTGCTATTGTAGTTGTTTGACAGTAAACGGGAAGTTCTTGAGGAGATAGATTTGATCCAATGAAGCAGAGATATGTGTGTGATTGTTTGTTAAATGAAAGTGATGTAATATACCATTGTATTATTAAAAGTTATTTATACTTATTCGAGAGATATATTTATGAAATGTGTGTTATTTATTGAGTAATTGTTTTATTAAGGTGACAGTTTTATGACAATGAATAAGTTTAGATGTACAAATTGTGTGGGTGTGCAATTATTTTTCAACTTGTAGTTATCAAATTACTTTGATAAAGTTCTATTGGTAAAATAGTAGATTATTCAAGATGTATTCAATTAATACAGCTAGTCTGAACGATTTACATGTTATGTTGGGAATCCTCAAACCACGTGTTGAGTTTGAAATCAATTTTTTTTTGTTAGATAAGTATATTTTGGAACCAGATGGAATGTAATAATACCCACAATTATTTAACCCACAATTATTATTACATTCCATCTGGTTCCGAAATATACTCATCTTACAAAAAAATTTTGATTTCAAACTCAACACGTGGTTTGAGGATTCCCAACATAACATGTAAATCGTTCAGACTAGCTGTATTAATTGAATACGTCTTTACTAATTACAATTATACACAAATTTACATTTCAAATAGAAATATTAACTTTCATAAACAGCTATTATTTAAAAAAAATTTTAAAGTGTTACTTAAAACAATTGTACAAACTCACCATTGTTCATGTCGGTGTGAGGAATATCTGTTCATATGACACGAAAAATTGAAATAAGAATAAATTTACTTTATACCGGTTTAAATAGAGGATCTTTCTACCTGTTCGTATAACAATTTCCGGTTCCAACTGTCAGATATTAGAACTACCAACTAATTATTGAAGGCTTTATAATTCAGTCAATTTCTTGAGCCCATAAATTAATTACCATCAATAATTATCCATTTGTTGCTTTGGTTACATATTAATATATCAGATATTAATATATTAATATATCAGAATTTGAATTAAATATCTAAAATATTTAAAAACACCATGACAGATAACTCACACCAACAATAATTTCAAATAAAAATAAAAAACTTTTGTAAACTTGTTATACATTTGATTATAAAATGTACATGTTCAGTTGCCAAAGAATCACTTTAATTTGTTCAGTAATTTGGACATTAGACTGAGTTAGTTATAATGTGGGATGTATTTCAATTATTCGTATTGTTACATTAAAATTTAATTAATTAAAGATTGTTAAAGTATGCCAATATTAAACACATCAATTTACTTTTGATATCTTAATTGAAACAATTTATAGACATTCATTAATAACAGCATATTTCATAAAACTAGATAACTTAACTTGCAGTATTGAGAAACAGAAGAAGAACTGTCACATGCTAACCTACATCTGTCAAATTTACCACTAAAATCTAATAGATAACACATAAAAAACTCATTGTGCCCAAGACTGAGATGTAGTGCATTAAAGTCCTTCCCCCTTTTAAATTTAATGTTTGTTTCGTCCCTTCTAAGTGTTTTCTGTTTTAGTGTGTTTTAAATTGTCCTTAATTGTTTTAATTCTAATATTTTATTTACTTGACTTTGCAATAATCTACTATTTTGCCAATAGAACTTTATCAAAGAAATTTGATAACTACAAGTTGAAAAATAATTGCACACCCACACAATTTGTACATCTAAACTTATTCATTGTCATAAAACTGTCACCTTCATAAAACAATTACTCAATAAATAACACACATTTCATAAATATATCTCTCGAATAAGTATAAATAACTTTTAATAATACAATGGTATATTACATCACTTTCATTTAACAAACAATCACACACATATCTCTGCTTCATTGGATCAAATCTATCTCCTCAAGAACTTCCCGTTTACTGTCAAACAACTACAATAGCAGAATTGAGTTCTCCATTCAACAATACATAGTAGTTTCAACCATGTTCTACCATCCATCAATTAATAGAGTACCGGCATGTAAGTAATGTTTATTTTATTTATTGCTCATTTATTAATTTATTACAATCTAATAGACTATTTTATAACAATTTGTGGGCCTTACCTTGTCTGTTTAAACTTTTAAAACTTTTATACCTTTTTATTCAACTTACTCTTTTTGAAATAAAACCACAGACATGTAATATTGGCATAATTATTGTAATTTACAACATCTACTTTGTTTATCTTTATTAGACAACACCCTAATATGGGTTTTTATCATTTCAGCATTTATTTAACTTTGTATCGAGACCTGAGGATGCTTTGCATATTGTAGAAAGCGAAACCGGTCGTCTGATAGTTAAATTAAATTGATTGTGAGTAAGTCTTATTTATTATTTCTTTACCTATTTGAAATGGACTCACACAAGCAACACATTCATGATTTAAATAGTTTAATGTTTATAACAACCAGTTACCATCTTTAAACAGTAATTTATACACACGTTATCCATTACCATAATATCACATGCACTATTTTTTTATTCGAGCTATGACCATTTTGAGATCATTTAAATAATCTCACTATCTAGTAGATACTTGTCTCCGGTAGTAATCGAATGATATAGTATGTTTTCCCCTTAAGAACAGTGCGTCAATGTCCTTGATTTGATATTACATCTGATTAGCTAGCAGTTTTACTGCTTGTTTATTTGCTGTTTTGATATAGGTCGTAGCACAAATTAAAAGGTCAGTGATATTGTTATTTAAAATTCATATCTAATAAGGATGGCTTAATTGTTTACGTAAAAACTAAACACTTTTAACAAGACATTGTTTATTGTTAGACAATGTTTTTATACTTGAACGGTTTGTTTGGGGTTATGACATATGAAAAACGGAGTGTAAGCAAAAAACATCTAAATATAAATTGTTGCACAGTGTAGAATAATAAATTATCTAAAGCGATAATCCACATTATCCGAAAAAATTTAAAACAAATACAAAAATTTTCAAATAATTAAACAGGTGCTAAGTATCTTTTTACTTTTTACCTATATTAAAAATGTCGAGTATATTGGATCTGGATATATAATAACATTTAGGAAAAAAAATCGATTTTTAAATACAGCACCTATCGACTCACAAACTGTTTGCATTGTGTTCGGGATGACGCCAGGAAAAAAATCTACTATCAAAAAATGGGTGGAAATGCATAATTGCATTTACAGAGTATAAAATGTATCCAAAAGTGCATGCAATTTTTTGGGCCATATAGATCTTTATGAAAATATGTTAAAATCAGCATATTAAGAGCCAAATCTTGTTACACATGGTTTTTGGAGTCGCTGAACCCAAATACATCATCAGCCCCCCGAGCACCTGGGCACAGCGTTACTGGTATGGCACCTCATCTTCTAGAATTTCGAATGTTTTCAGCACTAAATTGATGCAAACAGATTACTTGTGGGCTTCTGGGGTTGCTGAACACGAATATTACAACAGAACCTACCCTCGAAGAACCTAGTGCTCAACACCATGATGACTGCTATGCCTTATCTTATGGAAATTCCAGGCTTTCTGATAGTAAATTGATGTAGTACTCGGGGGTTTTCAAAGTTGCTGATTACGATTATGACGTAGATGAATGGCTGTGGATTATCTGATGTCCAGGACGAATGCAAATAAATTAAAGTGTAATAATTAATGTCATTTGTTTTACATTTACAATTAATTTACACATTTATTGCATCATTTATCACATTCATTTTTATCTTCGTCCGGAAATGCCTCTTTGTCTCCGCTAGTACCACTTTCATCAGTAGTTAGAACGATAGGGTTGAAGCAATTGCAGCCTTAATAGTTTAGGCAAAGTAACTGTACATGATAGTCCGTATCATCTTCTTTTCATAATCTGTAGTATATAATATATATATATATATATATATATATATATATATATATATATATATATATATATATATATATATATATATATATATATATAGTTGCCAGGAGTCGACAGGAATGGCGACTTCTTTACTACAATCTGTAGTACAGTTACAAAAATACTATTCCATTATATTAGGGGACCTGCGTTCTTAGTCGTCCGTATGGGAGAACACTCATTATTTTCCAGCTCTCAACCGCATTTCAACGAATTTCAGGCATGTCCATACCATGCCAGTAACTAAACTTTTTTTATGTGTTGTATTAGTCCGTCCCGTGTGGGCATAACTTTAGCCAAATATAGTATTTTAGACTTTACAACTGCCATCATGTACATTCTGAGATTGATCATCATCTCTTACGTAAACATATATAAAACTATAGGGCGTACCAAAAAACCCTAAAAAGAGTTCTCTTGGTTTCAGTAAATCACCAATAGTTCATTTTTTTTATTTTTCTGCATGCTCATGTAGATCCTTGTTTTGTTTGAAAAATTAGAGAAATTGTAGTTTGCCTCGATTAAAGGCTGCTGAGAAGAGTAAAAAGAAAATGCTTGATTGTATACCCCTGATTGAGACAATAGGTGAAAAATATACAGCTTCTTAATTTTTTGTCGTAAATGATTTCAACATGTTTCTAAAACAATTAACAATTTCTAGATTTTCAAAGGTCAGAGCTACAAGGAGAACGAGGATGTCGGTATCCTCAGATATAATTAAAACTTTGTCGTAAGTTGTAGCAGTATCTACTGCTTTTAAAACTATCTTAACGTCTGAATCCCCTTCTCTCTGACTCGAAGAAATTCCAGCGGTTTCAAACGTGCCTGGCAGCATATCAATTAGTTTACTTTATTTTTAGCATTGTCTAAAATTTTTTTCTGAGTGATTCTGAGTTCAAATTTTTATATTTCGTAAAGTGTATGATGACAGAACTTATTCTTATGCAAAATTCTGCCATTTCTTTTAGTGGCTTTTGTCGAAATTTTCTTATAACCACCGAAGATCACGAAATTATTTTGTCCTAAATTTTTTATTATATATTGAACATATTTATTACAAATGTCCCCATACTTTTCAACTAATTGCTATTTTAACTTACGGAGCATCCGGACTTCTAATATTTACAGACTTCTTCTGAAAAAGATGATATAATTTAGAGTTTTGGATTTATCTCAATCTATAGCAGTCAAAACAATTATAGAGGATAAGGAGCAAGTTCGTATTTCAAATACAATTTCATGTGATCGACAGATATTTCGATGAGGCAAATGAGATGAAATAGGAGAAGAGGATCGACCTTTTTATATTTTTCGTTTTTGATTGTGATGGTAGTCGATTTATCTGATCCTTCGTTAGATACTTTTTTGGCCAAAGATAACTGCAAATTTTTAAAATTCTTATCCTTGGTATCCTTCATAATGTCAAGTCCTATTTCAAGCGCATTGTGACACGTCACTTTTAAATTGTCTTCACTGATTTAGTTAGGGATGTCAGTGATATTATTTACATTAGAAAAAAGATAAAACTGAGTAAAAACTTAGATAATTTCAAATCTTTCCTATCGTGGCTTAGCATATTATCTATGGAATTCAAATGTTAATAGTTCCTATTAATAGATATTTGAGTGTAGTTTTTCTGACATGTTAAACAGTCTTTCGCAGCAATACTTTCTATTACCTTTGATTATATTATTTTTATATTTATTATACCTATTTTTTAATCCTCCTTTGAATTTTGCTCTTCTTGTGGGAGTTTGCCAGATAGTCTAGTCGGTATACATCCCGAAAAAAAATTTTGAGACTCGATGAGATGATCACTAGCCTTTTTTTGTAAAGCGATAAAGCGAATTTTAACGCAAAAATTGGGGAAGGAGCTGTAGATCACGTAGTTGGAAAATATGGTCTTGTTCAGAGAAACGACAGAGGGGACAGATTGATACAGTACTGTCAAGACAAGGATCTAGTCATAACGAATACTTGGTATAAGTTACCACCCAGGAGGGTGGTACACATGGTGGTTACAAATGGAAGTCGCCTTTAGACGGACATCAGGGCATTATAAGGAACCAAATAGATTATGTGACAATTAATAGAAGGTACAGGAATGCTATTACTAAGGTATCTTTATTACCTGGAGCAGACATAGGATCCGACCACAATCCCTTAGTACCAAATATCAAACTGAGGCTCGCTACAGCTAAAAAGAAAACACCAGAAAGCATCAGTAAACATTAGAAAACTCAAAAACAATGAAACAAATGAAGCGTACACAGAGGAAATAAACAATAGGTTCTCTAATATGGCAACTGAGAATGATGTTGAAAAGTCATGGACCACCATAAAAGAATCATTTAATGAGTTGAACAACACTTTTCTACTCGAGAGTAAAACAACTACCAAGAATGAGTGGATGACAGAAGAAATATTAGAGATGATGGAACAACGCAGGCAGTGTAAGATAAGGCAGGACGAAGTAGGGTACCGAAATATACACAGTCAAATTCATAAAGAAATTATAGCGGCGAAGGAGATCTGGATGACTACACTTTGCGCCGAGGCTGAAAGCCTATATAAACTCGGCGACAGCTTCAATCTTCACAAGAAAATTAAGGAAATTGCTGGTGTCTTCAAGAAAAAACAAGTCACTGGTATACATAATGACCAAAATGAATTAATAACGGACCCTAGCGATATACTTAATACTTGGAAAATGCACACAGCCAATTTGTTCAATGATGACAGAACACAAAAACCACCACAACTGGGAGACCATTTGTATGGCCCAAGTATTTTGAAAGCTGAAATTGTACACGCTATCAAACTATTAAAAAGTAACAAAACCCCAGGACCAGATGATATGTACGCAGAAACAATCAAGTTACTTAATGAAGAAAACCTAGACATTATTGTCAAGCTCTTTAACGACATCTACGATACGGGCCAGATTCCAAAAGATTGGTTTCGATCTACATTTATTTTGGTGTTACCAAAAACACCACGTGCACGACTTTTTAAAACTTTTCCTGAGAATACTTCACACTAGATTGTTTAAGAAATGTGAAGAGGTCAGTGGATGGAGTCAGTTTGGTTTCAAAAATGGACTTGGCACGAGAGAAGCGATCTTTAGTATGCAAACATTGATACAGAATGGTTTAGATCAAAGAAAGGATGTTTTTATCTGTTTCATCGATTACGAGAAAGCATTCGATAATGTAAAACACGAGTTGATGATAAAATACCTACAAGAGTTGGGATTGGATGCAAAGGATATAAGAATCATCGCCAATCTGTATTGGAATCAGACAGCAACAGTACGTCTTCAAAATTCCAACGAAACAGAAGATTTCTCCATTAAAAAAGGAGTAAGGCAAGGTTGTATACTGTCCCCAATGCTGTTCAATTTATACGTAGAAAAAGCCTTCGCAGAAGCAGTGGAAGACTCTAATAAGGGTATTAAAGTTACCGGCATATTTATTAATAACATCAGGTATGCCGATGATACCGCCATAGTGGCAGATAACATCGAAGATGCTTGGGGAAGGCTCGAGAATGCCTTTTAAATGATCTAACTCTTGCAAGTGAAGCTCGGGGTTTGAAAATAAATATCAAGAAGACAAAATCAATAATTATAAGTAGAAATGATTACCCCAACGCAAAGATATATGTCTCTGGAGAAGAAATCGAACAAGTCAGGCAATTCAAATACTTGGGATGTTTGCTTAATGAGGGTTGGGACCCCGAGAATGAAATAAAGAGCAGAGTTGAACAAGCCAGAAATGCTTTTTTGAGGCTTCGTAAGTTTCTGACTGATCGCAAATTGGACTTCAACCTCCGATACAAGTTGCTTAAGTGTTAGGTGTGGCCTGTTCTCCTGTACGGAATGGAAGCATGGACGTTAAAGGCCAGTTCCATTAACAAACTTGAAGTGACGGACAGGGTCAGAAATGAGGAAGTACTCAGAAGAGCGGGCTTACAGGATAGGGAACTTTTTAATTATGTAAAAAAGTAAGAAGACTGCATACTTGGGGCACATAATACGAGGAGAACGATACACTTTTCAGCAACTGATACTCGAAGGGAAGATAGAGGGTCGGAGAGGTCTCGGACGTAAAAAAATGTCATGGCTGCGCAATATTCGACAATGGATAGGAATCCACAGCTATGAAATGCTTCGCAATGCTGCTAAAAATAGAATTATTTAATCCAGAATATTTAACATCTCACCTGACAAGACGATGTACGGTGGACGCCTACGCAGAAATGCACGGCACCTTAAGAAGAAGAAGATCATAATCCGATTGGTCCATTTAAACAGAAAGATTTTAACTGTCCTACAGATAAATTTTCACAGATTTTGGCGTAAAGAAGATGGCCATACGAAATAGAAAAAAATGAATCAATATTTATGTGCATTGAACGTGCAAATTCTAATCACCGCTCTTTTAAGCAAATACAAAATCTGTCATAATGAAAACCATCCTATAATATGTTACTATGGCTTACATATAATTTATTCACAGCACAATAACATCATATTTCCACGTGGTTCGCAAACGGAAACTAACACTATGGACATTGATTGAAGCAGCAGCTGATTGCACTGGCTTTATAAGTAGTGTACACAGTGAATAAATGATTCCCCTGGTATAATTATAATAGGTTGTAGCAGAATAGCCACCTCTAAAGTAACTAAACTTTTAAGCGGTAGTTCAAATTGATGAAAAAAATATTTTTTATTAAAATATCTATTTTAATTTATTAATTGTTTTTTTTTACTATTAATAAAAATAAACTCAATTTATAACTGACAATGTTTGTCCTTTATTTCAAGATCAGTTTATTAGATTCTGATTTGATCATGTCATTATTAGGCATTGACTTTGTTATTCGTCACCCTGGACACCACATACTCCAGAGACCTTCACCTACGTCGTATTTGTTGGCTGCAACCCCAAAAACCTCCGAGCACTCTGCTTGCAATAATGTTGCGGTAGAGATAACGGCCAATAGGAGACTCATCACACGAGTAGACAGAACAAGTCTGATGCGAGTGACATGTGTCTATAGGACTGTATCTGTGGCAGTCTTGTGGACCATCACTGGTTGTGTTCCTTTGCATTTACCTCTCTAGGTTCGGAAAGGCTGACACAGGTAAATGCCTATACTGTGGACACTCGGATACTGTGACACACATTATGTTAGATTGCAATAGATGAATAGTAGAAAGAAACAGAATGTAAAGAGGGACAGGTGTGAATTTTGTTACAATGAGAACAATGATTAAGAGCATGATAGAAAATAATGAAGATTAAACTAGCATACCCAATTATATCCGTGCAGTGATTAAGAAAAAAGAAGAGGAAGAAAGACAGCTGGAGCAACGGCAATGGTAAGAGGGAAATATACTGAAAGTTAAAACTAGAAAAGTGGATCAGACTGTATGAATTAGAATGCGTGAGTCACACTGTGGGGAAGGAGAAAATGCCCGTCTGGGAGTGATCCCGTACTAGTAGCGATGAGGGTCTTCTACGCGCTACCTGGAACGAGAAGGGGAGCCTATTTGCTGATGAATGGAGTGAGGATGTGGATCTATAAAATGAATGAATGAAGGTAGTGTTTCAGAAGTGATGCCGGCCTTATAGCGGCCATTCCGCTTCCGGGTCAACGAAAGAGCATTTTAAAGTACCTTGGGAATTATCTAATGAAGATTTCAGACCTTTCTCTATAAAGACGAAAAAAGTGTCAAAAAGCCTTGAAAATCCAATAGATGATATGCATAGCAGTCAACCTGCGTACTAGATGCTCTGAGGGTCAGATCTGATGTCATATTTGTAT